AGAGAATTCGCAATGCTTACCGTGCTCGCTTTCGTAATTGCGTATAAGATTCTCGCTCCATCCTGTTTCCGACGCGGAAATGGGATGCTCGTTCACAGACGGCTAAAAGGAAGATGAAGTTCTAGGTGTAAAAATAAGGAACTAGTAGTGTTGATAGAGCATTGACCTCATCCGTAACTCCTCTATATTCCACAACAGCACCAAGAGAAGGCAGATCGTAGTTCCTCTGGATCCGATGCGATTTCGGACATCTTAGCTGGTCAGACTGCTCATTGCTCAGCGAGAATTCAAAACGTTTAGAGAATGCGTCTTCGACTTTGGGATTAGACTTTTGTGATTGCGGGGAAGGCCTGAGTTCGACAGGTGAGTCAGGCGAATCCAACTTTCGCTTCTTCATCTTCAAAAGAGATTGCGTCTCAGTCGACTTGCTGTTTTTCAATAAGAGATACAAATGAGATGACACTGATGTCAGCAAAAAAAAGAAAAGTCAATAAATGTTTTATCAAAAATATGAACAGAAAAGCTTACGAAAAAAGGGTCACCATGATTACAATAACCATAGTCTGCTCACAAAAGCTAGGCATATACTAAACAAAAACTTTACAAAAGCAGCACTCAAACTACACGTAAGATGCCGCAAAGTAGTAATCACATTCGTGTATTAGAAAAGCTACACAAGCCGTACAGTTGATTACATGAGTTACTGAAAAATATTATTCCTGAGATTGTGTCTCATTCCTCATAGCATCGGGTACTGGTGGTGGTGTTGACAACTCGTCAATGACAGGTGTTGATTCACCCCGGAACATTAACGCTACCATAGCAGGAGCTTGAGCCTGAAAGACTCTTCTCATAAACAAATTGCCATTTCAAGTTCTAAACAAAATTCTAGTTTAGTTATACAAATTACTGAAATCTCTCTGAAGCTTTCCCCATATGGAGTAATGTTAATGTTAATGAGTAAAAAACAAGGATTGATGGATTTATACAAAGACGGAATTCCCTGCACTGTCCACAAAAGGTACAGAAAAGTCGCGCTAGGTTGTGAGAGGTGTCACAACCATCAAAGCACATGTTTGCATGTAAAAACCTCAAATTTGAGTTGGAGCACTGGTATCAGAAACGGAATTTCGTATACAAACCTTTGCATTATTTGCGCTGAAACCGCTCTCTGCCAAAGTTTTCTTATCATCAAGCGGTTGGAAATTAGTTGTGCTATCGTCTAGAAGGCGAACGAGCACCTGATCAGTGACGGGAATCTGCAAAAGTAACTGCCATTATCCGGGATAAAAAAACTGGACGCAAACCAAAGCATATACATATTGCACAAAAAAGCATGGATACAGAAGGCTTGAAAATGAAACAACGACATAAAACGAACAAAGTTGATGCAAAAACCGACCTTTAGCACACCTTCAACAATCCTCTTAAGTTCTAAAACTGGAGCTGTGTCCTTCGCATCGCAAAATACATGCTGCTTTTCTCGCACGATTTCGAAAAATAGCTCGTGAACCTAAACGTGTGTAGAAACAGTGGTATACCTGTACTTGAGCGAAATTCAACTCACCATAATTGTTGCAGCTAAAAATAAATTTGTGAAGAGTAATCACCCGATAATGAAAGATGAAAATTCTGTAATCTTCGTAAAATTCATGGGTTAACTCAAAGCACCAGATCTTTAATTTTCTGCGGAAT